AAACATTATTTTTATATATGAAAATATTAAATAGACAATTTTTATTTAATTAATATTTATACAGATGAATATCAGTTGAAAGTTTGAAGAAGTTAGATTGTTTTTCTTTTTTTAAGTTTTTATGGGGTACCATGATGTGTGAGTTGTCCGACTTATCAAATACAGTTAAGTACTCAGTCTTGCCAAAAATCTATGAAAATTCAGTATACAAAAAACGAAGTACACTGTATTAATTTAATAATAGATATTTCAATAATTTTTTATTTATTAACAAAAGTATTATTAGTATACCAAATTAGTACAAATTAAAAATAAATATCATCTTCATAGATACATACGTAATACGTATAAATGCTATAATAATTGCATCAATAGTAAATACTATAAATATGTATTATAATAAAGTAATAATACATTTTGTATTTCTTCATAATGTATAAAAAAAAAACATAGGTATAAAACCCATTAAATATCTATTTTAATATATTTTTAATTAAACAAATTTTATATTTGATCTATAGTCATTTAATACTTGCAATTTAATTCCATAATAGAGACTCATAATAAAGATAACACAAAAAAAAAAAATAAAAAGTAATAAAAAAAAAACATTAAAAATTAAAATAAACTCATTTCGTTTATATTTTTGTGATTATTATTACTTTTATTAAGAAAGGTTTTAATGAATGGTATTCTAGTTGATATTTAAAATTTAATCGTCTGTTGAAATTCGTGCAACAGGTAACACCACCCCTGGACGTCGAAACGCTATCTCAAACACTCAAAGAGAAGAATATCCTACCGTCAAATTTGAAATTTGGTTTCCTTGGTTTGGGAATAATGGGCAGCGGCATCGTAAAAAATTTGATCAACAGTGGACATAGCGTGATTGTGTGGAATCGAACGCAAGAGAAGGTATGTACCACGTGCGTCCATTTTTTTTTTTTCTTTTTTTTTTTTTTATATATACAAATCATTCTTAATAACACAGATAAAGATACAAAATTAAAAAGAAACATTTTGTAAAAAATATTAACGATACGTGTATATCGTTAATTAGTATAATCTTATGCATATGGTTACCACCTACCATACATCGTTAAACTTATGGTGTTGATAAGGTTTAATATTTAATCATAAATGAACCAACCCCCCCGTTATCGTTTGAATTTTACGCGATCATTTAACTTCGTATAGATTTTCAATCAATTACTGTTCTTCATCTTTTGGTTTGGTTTTATCGCGTAGGCGGGCTTTTATAACGCCGGGTATTTAAACGTTTTATACAGTCCGAATATGTCGATAAGCCATGGAAATTTATTGCACGAGTTAAGAAGAATTTTATTTCGAAAATTCGTCTACTGGATTAGTACGTCGAACTTGAAGCGATTATGTAAATATTATATTTTTAGAAACGAGACTGAATTAGCGTATACATTTTCTAATGCAATACTTGTACTTGTTTTTTACATTATCTTAATCGTGCAAACGTCTCACCCTCTGTACCGTGTTTGTCGAGCTTCGATAACTTTTTTTTTCTTTTTTTCTTTTATGGTAGAAAATAAAATTTTTTTAAAGGGATATATACAATGAAAGGAATAGGAAGAGTTTAAAAAAAAAAAAGATACCTTCCATTCGTACAAAGTAATTTTATATTTTTTATTAATAATATCCATATGTTTATTTATTATTTAAATCGTGTTAAATATTTTACGAACAAAAAGAAAGAAACAAGAACTATCTTTTAAACAAAGAATTATATAATTATTTATTTTTATTATTTATTTATTATTTTACAAAAAAAATGCTTCTAATATTTTATTACACA